CCAAGTTTTGGTATAAGTTTTTACTAATTTTTGCCAAAATAGCTACAAATCGCTCTGGAGGCATTTGCGACAACGTAGGTTGAAAGAATATGGAACCACTTTTTACATTCAACAGATTAAGAGCAAAAACCCAACCTGCATAAACAGACCTAAGTAGGACGAAGGCATTTCGTGAGCCTGATTCAGTAAAAACCCGCACCCGGGTCTTAGGGTCCGGACCTCAAATTAAAAGCCTGAGGCATCATGCTCAGGTATGGAGTGGAAGGCCTGTCGCACAGGAGGTTGGTCGTGGACCTGATCCCTGTCACTTTTAGGAACAGCTCCTCTCCATCGGCCGGCCGTTGTGTCAAAAGTGTCCTGATAGAATGACCGGTAAAAAGCCACATACGGGCAAAGATTACATTATACCGCGGGAACAAGGTCGCTCGCCCAGACCAGCTTTTTCCTCTGTTACCTTACACCTACGCGCTTCTCTAATTCGAAGAAATGGGTGGCAAAACTTTGGACGATCATAGACGCGTTTCAGATACCTATACATTGTTCAAAGTGGACGGGACACATCAAACACTATGGTTTCCAGACCAAAGTTGCGCTAGTTACCTGGCGTATCCTCTGAATCGTTTCGAACGGGATCCCCACCCAGAATGCCATTTCAACGTCGGACTGCTGAAGAGCAAGGTGAAGCCCGTATTCCGGTGGCAATAAGCCCACGGTGAGCGCAAACTCGTCAGTCGCAAAGTACGACGAATCAAAGGTTTTCTCATCTTGCTCAGCGCATATTTGCCAGTAAGTGGCAACGCCGATTCGTGTCCACATGTATCCCGGTAACCATGTGCAACAGCGTCCGAGGAATGTCGTCACTTCGTACAGTGCGACGTTACTGAGCGAGTGGGACATTCGGACTTAGCGGTTCCGCGGGGTATTCAACTATTTGAAGGAGCTCAGACGAGAAAATTTGCTGAGGCAGATAGCGCAGAATGAGCAGTGTAGACGAAAATCTCGAGGAACAAGAAGAATACCGGCTTAAATAATGAGCTTGGGAGGATAGAACGAGATGCGCAGCTTTACGAACGTCTGTCCAAAGTGAGGCGAACAACCAACACGACCACGAAGTACGACAAAGGTCGAGCTTGCCCAGTTGAGGGCATGAAACCTGGACACAAACGAGCTTCACGAAAAGGTAATTTAGAACCATGCGTTCAAAGGCCACGAGTTATCGTTCAAACAGCTTTTGAAGCCCAAAGGGAACAGGAGAGGCGTTTCATGCAACATTCGTTCATCAATCGTGGTGAGCCTGTGAATACTGCAACATAGAAATTTGCTCTCTGTAGGGACAGCAAGTTTCGTTTTTGTCTGTTCCTGTCCCTCGTCCGATTTCCCATGCCAAACTCTTGTTTTGCTTTGCAGGGAAGAAAAAAAAACGAACTGTCTTGCGATTACTTTGTTTTGCCCCAGCACCAAGCGTACATAATTGGCATTCTCCGTAATAGACGTCATCGGCCATCATTAAGGTCTCATTCAAGTGACAGAAAGAAGTAGTGCACTTTCCTTGTTCACGAGCACCGTTGAATGGGTACATGTCAAAGCGTTTCTTAAGCCCTACATGCATTCGAATGAAGTGCCCTCTCTCAAAGACACGTCATAGTACAGCGACGCATCGTCAGAGCGAAGTCGGAAAACCTAGACGGGTTTGTTATGCCGTAAGGGCAAACGAGTGCCACCTCACAATTAGCGAAGACCGTGACTAATAAGGAACCCAAGGCGTGGCGCCACTCCCAGGTGTTCACTACGGACTGAGGATCCATTGGTTCAATTGCTTTAAGGACTCTTGTTCACGTCAACGAAATTACACGAAAGAATTTTCTGCAAAAAAGTAGTAAGCTGCTCTGACGGCACCTCGCGACGCGCCACTTGACTAAGTGCTGGATCACGCCTCCCCCATGGTTGCCCGTGATGAGTATCGGCAAGATCCTTCCTCTTCGCGATGATCTCAAAATTTCTGCACCGCCACTAATTTATGATTGCTAGTGATAGAACTTGCAGGTCATTTAATGGATCTCCCTACTGGAACGGCGTGCGGCTCAAACGTCACGCACTGCGACACCAGCGACCCGCTCCATCTCGCGCATCGAATCGTCGACTTGACGCTTCATTTTACGAGTATCTCATTGAACCTCGTGCTGCTGGTGCTAGTGGAAAAGCATTCCGGCGACAACGTTGGACCGTACAAGAACGTATTGCGGCTGACGTGCATTAGCGACCTCGTGACGAGCTTCTTCGCCATCGTAGCCCAAAAGGTATTCGACAGCATAAGGCATCTCTTCTCCGGATGTTCAAGTTTGTTTTGCCTGGCATATGAGTACCTATGCCGTTGCCTTAATCGTTACTAGAGTTCGGCGCCCGTACTAAGGTACGGGCCAAACCCGTACCGTACCCGCATTATACGGCACGGCAACACGGCACAGGAGGGTCCACCACGGCACGGCTACAGGGCACGGGAGGGGGCGCCACGGGTACGGGTACGGCATCGGGTCCCAGCGAGGATCTCTAGTCGTTACTTCTTTCCGTTCTTAATGCTAAGCTTCTTTCGCAATCTTTGTAGGTCATTCTGACGAACCACGCGGACATTGTGTTCATGTCGAACAGTTTCTTCTCGAGGGTCAACACTGAGCTGGATTTCTTCGGCGTGTTCTTGGCCAGTAGCTCTTGCTACATGAGCACGATCATTCTTCCAGTGCTGTACGTCTACCGCTATGTGTCACTCCACAGGTACGTGGATTTTATCTAACAACTTGTGATGAAAATCGTGCAGCTGCTGCAAAACGCAAGAAGCACCTCTAGAACAAGGCTTACCGGCAGCAAATGATTTGACCCTTTGATAGTCCTCGCCCCCATAGATTTGAAATCCGTTTTGCCCGTTCCTTAGCCTTATTCCTTCAACAAAACTAGCGCTGATAGACAAAAGGTCGACACCGATGAGGTTTGACAGAATTGCCAGAACGAAACGGAACTGAACGGGTCACTCAAGAACGGAACCGGGACGGAAATACCGTATTTCCTGAATTATAAGCGCCCCCAAAATTATAAGCCCCCCCCCAAAAATATAAGCCCAGGGTCCCGGACCCCATTGATAAATATAAGCCCATGGGCTTATATTTCAAGAAATACGGTAGTAGTGGCAGAGCGGAACGGATTAGAACGGCAGAAAGGATCATTGGACGGAAGAAAGTAAGAGGAAGGTTTCAGTGGCAAAACGGAAGGTGAACAGGAGATTCAGCATAATGTCCCCCCCTCATATGCAGCCTATGCCTGAATGTCCCTTGATGTGTCATTCGTCTGCAGTGTTGCGTTTTAAAGGTTCCAGATCCTCCGGGGTTCCAGGACTGCTACACCCTTGACTGTATCACTTTAAGCCCGAAAACTCGTCGCAGGGCAATGTCCGTCGCGCTTACTATCGCGTTATTCGTTATCGTTGCCGGCTGTTACGTCACCTACCATGCTCTCCGCCCAACGTCCGACATCTACGAAAAAGCGAGGAGCGTTCTCCTCGAAACTGGCTGGTCGTGCGCGGACCTAGAAGATGCACCGTTCTTGTACGGCGGAAATTTTGTACGTTTCAACCACGTCCACGGTAAACATGCACACATATCCTTTTTAGTTCGAGCCCCGAATCCAGCTGTACTTTTGCGTCCTAAGCTACACAGTATTACTCGGATACGTCGTCATTATTGCATCGGAAGTGATGGCATTCCGGCGTGCCCAATCCATCGGCGTCGCTTCGCATCCTAGTGAAGCGCCAATGCACAACGACTCCAGGCGGGCGCTAACTGCCCTCGCTATATGCACGCTCGTTTGCGTCGTGTGAGCTTTTTATTTGTGCAGTGCTGACGTAATATCAATATTGGGCGTCCGAAGTATTCGGACGTAATTCAGTAGCGGACGCAACAGACGTTCGGCTCAACACGTCGATGTCCGCCGTCGGCGGCACCATGAGCGGACTACAGTCGTAGCAGGGCTGGGGGGGGGGGATTTTTTTGGTGACCGGTAACGAGAACAGCACATCGGTACTTAGACCGGTAATCCAAGGAAATTCCAGTGCGTTCGGAGCCAAGCAGCTTGCTAACACCTACAACGACCCTCTATCGGTATAGTGCCACTAGACTGCAAAGTTGAGTAGGTAGCATAGAACGAGTTACTCAAGACGCACAAATCATTTATTTTTGTTTGGTTTTGGGCTAGTTTTGCCTAAAGTTTTCACTAATTTTACCAGGAAAAAATCGAAAAAGGCGAGATTGTTTCGATAACCGGTACCGGTACGCAACCTGCCCAGCCCTGCGACGTAGGCGTCGGCTCTATTGCAAACTGGCTCTGAAGAAAGCAAAACGCTGCGCCTACTGCTCTGTTCTGCCAATCGGACACCTCCCTTTTAATGCTCCTTCAATTATGGCTCACATCATAGGCTGGGCATCTTGATGAGACTACCACTTCAGTTATTGAATTTAGGTTGCCCATGGTCTACTTCATCGTCGTTTGTGCACTGCGCGCTAACGGAGGCATCCTCTCGAGCTTTGTTACCACGACAACGTCTTCGACAGCGTTGGTGAATCCACTCGTGGTCATCGCAACCGTTCGTCCATACCGACGAAAGGTGGCCGATTGGCTCAACACCATATTCGCCCGTAAGAAGGCCAATAACACGACGCTGGCGATTGCTTTCAACAAGCATAGCCGGAGGATCACTCTTTCGAACATAAAAGTGATCTTTCATCCTGTTGCTTAATCGCAATTTCAGCTTGTTGTGGACATCATTGTCAAATAAAATTCAAGAACAAATCGAATCGCCTTCCTTTGTTGGGAGTGTGGAACGAAGTAGCGACATTCCCTTCAACAGTGCTCCCCTTCGAACGAGTTTGCTAGTGGCAATTAGTGACTTTCACACGTGGCGGTGGACGGTCGCGTGCCTGGTGCAATCGTTGCCAGCAAGTAAGACCTTGCTCGTCGGGGGTATAGCTCAGTGGTAGAGCGCTCGCTTCGCATGTGAGAAGTCAGTTCGGTTACGCTTCGCCCGAGCGATTTTTAGCTCGGATTTGGCCCGCTTGCGAAGCGGTAAATATCGGCTATGCTTTGTACTCATGCAGTACATGCACTCATACATTAGTTCACCGATGATCCTTCATGCCCCACAACCAGCGCTTCGCACTTGGTGGGGTCTGCTTTGCACGTGAGCCTCGCATGACGAGGGCCTATTGGTTCAAACCCCCTTACCTCCAAACCTTTTTTACGCATCCGTCGCGAGCGCAGCAGTCAGCACGTTTATTTTTCTGCCAACTAATTGGAGGAGCTTCTCAGCAATAAGATTATCTCTTTCGCTGCTCACATATACTAGATATGCATGGCCCTCAGGGAACTCCTTTGTTGAAAACAGAAAGTCTCCACCCTTTTACGCACTACTGCAGGGAACCGAACTAAAGCCACAGTACAAAAGTTTAATGATGGCCTTCTTTGAAAGGACGGAAATGCCGAAAACGTGAGCGTAATTAAAGTCGTCTGGAGCATCTAGAATTGACATCGCATCATTAGCGAGCAAGCCAAGAAAGGATATCGTCGGGGCTTCCGTTAAACCAAACTCGGTCAGGTAGGCTCATTAACAGGCGTCGCGAGCAGCCCTTTTCCGGCGGTCATAACTTATTTAGGATTTGCGACTGAGCTTCCGACGAGGCATGGCATGGCATCCACAGTACCGATCGTTCGCGGTTTTCAACAACTTGTAATACCTATGGTTGACGGAACTAGTCCCGAACCAAAGTAGGCTTGCTCGGCTTCTAAAAATTTGCTTCGCGAGAGTTCGCTTAAACTTTCCGTTTAAAGAAAACAGTGAACACAACTATGCTGGAATTCCATCCGTGCAGAAGCCTGCTTTCGTCGTCCGTTTTCTTCATTTTTGTAGCGCAAAATATGTCAGTCTACGCGTGCACGACCGAGCAATCATTGCTGGCCACGCGGTTCACATCAACCCAAAGACCTTTGATAAAGCTGCGCTGAGAATGCCGCGAATACGACGACAACAACCCGAGCGCGCATCATTCTCTGTTTAACAGGAACGGGCTGCAGTCGCTCGCTCGCTCGCTTTCTTCCGCATGCAGCAGTTGGCATCGTCTGGAACGACCCATTGTCCATGCCGTCGCGTCCATGCTTCCGTCCTGGAGTCGCGTCTGCCTGCACACATGGCTTTCTTTATGCTAATTTTGTCTTTTTCAGACGCTATGCTTTCGTAAGTCGCTCATTTCAGTTGCTTTAACTAGCTAAATTCCTGAAAATTAATCCCTACGTTGACTTAGTTTTCGGAAGCTTTTTTAATGGATTCGTGCCTATTCACTTCGTGTGCACTCTGCGGTCCTCTATTATTCAAAAGCTATTCCGATGTTAAACATCCGACTCGCAAGATACCCAGCGGTAAACAAGACTTTATCCTCTTTGGGTATGCAATTGTCGAATGAGTGGCAAAAGAGCATGGCCAAAGAATGTGACGCCGTTAGTTCCCGGTCCGTCTTCATTGGTGTTTCTGCGAGTAGCTTGCGAGACATAGTGCTTTAGCGTGCCTCTTGTCGTCCGCCCTGTGTCTCCTATCGCATTGCTATCCCCCTGCACCGTTGCGATGTTCCGTCGTTTCGGACCAGGGTGATGCGAAAACATTCTGTTTTCCCAATCGCACTGGAGCGCAAAGCATCGCGATACAGGGACTCAGTGCAATTTTATGAGCGGTGTGGCAGCGAGTGGTGCGTGGTTCACGTGGCGCCGTGCGTACCACGGATGCTGGGTGGGACGAACGAGTGGCGAGACAAAGAGACTTTGTTGTCGCCCGGATGGGGAAGGGCACGTGGGAATGTGCGAACCTTCTCACTATAGAGCGAAAAACATCGACGAAATAGATGCAAATTAGGCCGTGAAACAAGGACCTTTTAAGGGAAAACACTGCATCGAAGAAAGTGACGGGAATATTCATGGAAACGTGTAGCGTTTTTTTTTCGAACTTACGAGGAGCTGCGAATCGGCCCTATTCTTGATTTAACCTTTGCGCCCTAACTAGCTCGTAAGTTTGGCTAAAGTGGGTTCGCTCAGATTTTACAAAAGAGTTGCCAACGAAATGCAAGACCCGGTCTAAAAGGCGCGGATAAACCAGGCAGCAACGATATCGCCCTGATGACTTAGACGGCTTTTTAGTAGGAGTCCAGTCCTCCTGGAATATTGCTTTGCAGTTCTTTTTGTTTTCCGGCAGAATCATATTACTTTTTAATTCCGAATTCGCAGACGCAGCCTATTTATAAGCCGAACACATTGTTGAAAGTTCTAGCATAGATTCTCAGCGCTATGGACCTTTTTGCTTTCTTACGCTTAATGTTTGTGACGAAAGATAGCATTCGTCGTCATAAACGTCGATTTCCATACGTTTCGTCAACCGTTGCGGCCTATTTTCGACCACCCATATCACTCAACGCTTCCGTCCCAGACAAGCCGCGACGGCTGCACCGAACGGGCCGTCCACACCCGTGCGTCCATGGCTGTCCCCGTCGGCGACGCATCGCAATGCTGTCCGCAGGCGCGCTTTGAATTGCTGCGCGCTTTGACCCATGAGCTGCCACTGCCGGGATGTAGCTAGGGGGGAGGCCGACAAGGCTCCCAGTCCCATCGTGGGCCCCGAAGGAAGTTGGGGGGGGGGGGTCAACCGGAGGTCCCCAATCCCGAACGTCGCTAGCTACGCCTTATATAACTGCATAAAAAGGCGGATTCGAATCGCCCAACATATTCATTTATTCGCTAATGTGGACACTCATTTTCGTCTAAACTTTTTGTACGAGACATGATGGGTGCGCACGTCTCAGCTAGCCATTTTGGAAGACGTCCCTAGGCGTATGCCTCTTCTATGTGCTCGCAATCTTGGCACATGTCCGTCGCTGATTTACTGCGAATGCGTCCCGTTCCGCATTCATAAAGTTATTAATGCCGTGAGTCATTCGATCGCCAGTGGGCCGATGCAGGCGGTGGATGCGAACCCTTATTTCCTATGGCGCTTCCCTCTTCTTCCCTTGTGCCGCTAGCGACAACCCAGTGCAGCGTGTCAGCTTTGTCGTCCGCTTTGTTTTCTCGATTGCGTTCCCGTCCCTCTCCCCTTGCTTGCGTCGGCCGCCGCTCGGGATGATGGCAATGCGAAAACATTTCTGTTTTCGCCAGCGCACCCAGGAACAAAAAGCGTCGCGATGCAGATACGGCGCTGCGATAGGATGGGAGCGGCGGCGGAGAGGATAGCGTCGCGCGGCGCAGAGGGTGTCGTGCGTACCACCGGTGCGGATGGAACGGCGGTCCATAAGACGCTTTGTTGTTGCTGCATGTTAGCTGAACTTTCGCAACGTATTCAACGTTCTCCACTTTCCTTCCCCGTGGTCTTCCCGTACCGACTATTTTCGACTCTTTGACTGCCCCAGACAAGCCTCACTGGCTGCAGCAAACCGAGTGGACGGCCTACCGGCATACGCGTATAACTAGCCCCGTCGGAAACGTGTCCTCGAAGTTGTCACGTCACCACGCTTTGAAAGCCCGCTATTCGTAACTTTAGACCCATGAGCTTTTCTATCAACGTATAAGAAGCCCTAGGGAACCGCCCGATGGGGATAATCATGCGCAGCGAGCGCATGCCTGAATATGTAGCAAAGCGGTAACAATGTGGGAGTTCCGCTATCAGTATACTCGTTTGTGAGTGTTTGTACGCTTCGAAGGAACACATTTATCAGCCATCCATCTTGGGGATATCCTTAGGTTTGTGCGCTTTTGCGTGATTGCAGTCCTTGGCCATGTGTACAATGCCTTGTCTCTAATAACCAAGTGTGTGCGGCTTCCTACACTCGCTTTTCATGCGCCGTACTAATGTCACTTCTATTGTCGGAGAACGTCAAATACAGGTTTGAAAAGTCGAGGAACAATGTGACCTCAGTTAGCCAGGTTGCTCGGTTAAGCTTTGCTTTACTTTTTGTTCTACTTTTTGTGCTTTTGGCTGAAATCATTTGCACGAAAAGGAGTTGCAATAAGGGGTATCAATGATACGGAAGGGTTTGCGCAACTCTGGGCAGGCGCCAAAAACATTGTCCCTAACCTGTTCAAGTATTCCTTTGCCGGGCGTACGGATAAGCAGTTTACCACGATTTGTTTTAACCCACCCTTAACCTCACATACAGAATCACGAGGGATCTTTTCAATTAGTTATAAGGCGGTGTTAAAGAACTTTATCGGAGAATCCCCTGCTAACTGACTAGGTGTGTCCAATGCGCCGTTTCCTTTTTGCTCGGACGGTAAGATTCCATCAGCGATCAGTGCTGCCGTTCTTCCCCCCACTATCATGTGCCACGTGGTTCGTGTGCACAACTGAGAGCTGGCGACCAGGATATCTGTCCCGGGATGGCACCATGCGCTCGCGTGGCTTGCTTGTTTCCCTTTGCCCTCCGTCCATCAACATCTCTCTTCGGTTGCGGCGCTTGTCCATGGAGTCCACGTTTGAACCGGTATTCCAGCATTTCCTTGCTTGCCGCAGGAAACCGCAAGGCTTGGCCATTTGGGCACATGACTTCCCCTAACAGGCGGGTGCCTCCCGCACAGATTGTTGGGAAACCAAAAGTTCTCCGCATCGCTTTCGATTTCCAAGAGACGGGCTTCACATCAGACCATGGTACAATGACTGCAGGAGCTTTCGGGAGGACGGCCCATCGGAATTTGTAAAGCATGGAACAAGGTCCATATGATTTGATGAGAAGTTGGTGAATCCACGCTTGCTGCTTGCGGGCTCGGTTGTTTTCCTCCTTTCGATGCAGGTTTCCACACCATCATACAGCGATTAGGGAAGTCGGCAGATCACGCGTGAAGGGATTTAAGGGTATAAGCCAAGCAGTTGCAGACTTATTATCTCTCTATACCGTGCTGCTGAGATGCGTTATTGGAAGCCAAGCTCGTCGTGCTTAGGTTGGCTTAGTTTCATATGGATGCCTTTTATGGAATCATGCCTGTCAATAAGTGTTTTAAGTG